CAAGGGTACAAAGGACTGGTCCGGCTCCGACGCCCTCCTCCGCGACCGCATCTTCTCCACCATCGCCGATGTCTTCAAGCGCCATGGCGGTACTGCCCTCGACACTCCCGTCTTCGAGCTGCGCGAGATTCTCGCCGGTAAGTATGGCGAGGACTCCAAGCTCATCTACGACCTCCAGGACCAGGGTGGAGAAATCTGCTCCCTCCGCTACGATCTTACCGTCCCCTTCGCCCGTTGGCTCGCCATGAACCCGGACGTCCGCAGCATGAAGCGCTACCACATTGCCAAGGTGTACCGTCGCGATCAGCCCGCCGTGAGCAAGGGTCGCATGCGCGAGTTCTACCAGTGCGATTTCGATATCGCCGGTACCTTCGACCCCATGGTCCCCGATGCCGAGATCCTGCGCATCGTCACCGAAGTCTTCGAGGAGCTGGGCTGGAACGGTCGTTATAACATCAAGATCAACCACCGGAAGATCCTCGACGGTGTCTTCCAGGTCTGCGGCGTGCCCGAGGAGAAGATCCGTCCGATCTCCAGTGCCGTCGACAAGCTGGACAAGATGCCCTGGGCGGATGTGCGCAAGGAAATGGTCGAGGAGAAGGGTCTGGACGGCGCCGTGGCCGATAAGATCGAGACATACGTGATGCACAAGGGCGGTCGCGAACTCCTTAAGAACCTCCTCAAGGATGAGGGCCTGACGGCCAACGAGTCCGCCAAGGCCGGTCTCGAAGATATGGGTCTGCTCATGGACTACCTTGAGGCATTCGGCGTGCTGGACAAGATCTCCTTCGACATGAGTCTGGCCCGTGGTCTCGATTACTACACCGGTGTGATCTACGAGGTTGTCACCGAGGGCTCCGCCCCCGCCGTGGCGTCCTCCGCACCGGAGGCCCAGGCCGTGCAGAAGTCCAGCAAGAAGAGCAAGTCCAAGGGCGGCAACTCGGAAGACGACGACCGCTCCAACGACCCGACCCTGGGTGTCGGCAGTGTCGCCGCGGGAGGTCGCTACGACAACCTGGTGGGCATGTTCCTGCCCAAGGCGCAGATTCCCTGCGTGGGTGTGTCCTTCGGTGTGGACCGTATCTTCTCCATCACCAAGGCCCGTCTCGAGCGTGAGAAGAGCGCCGAGGCCCTCCGCAGCAGCGAGGTCGATGCCTACGTTATGGCCTTTGGTGGTAAGGGCTTCACTGGTATGCTGAAGGAGCGGATGAGCGTGTGCCAGACTCTCTGGAACTCTGGCGTCAAGGTAAGCCTCCCCCATATACTCTCTCCCTCCCTCTTTGAACGTATATACTAATAATAATCTACAGGCCGAATTCTCTTACAAGGTCAAGCCCAAACTCCCCCAACAATTCAAGGCCGCCGAACAAGCCGGCGTCCCCTTCGCCGTCATCCTGGGCGAGGACGAACTCGCGGCCGGCAAGGTCCGCGTCAAGGAAATGGGTCTGGAGGACGGACACCCCGAGAAGGAAGGTGTTCTGGTCGATCTGACTGCTCTGCCGGCGGAGGTCAAGGCCCGGGTGGCTAAGAAGCGGGGAGAGAGTGTCGAGGGTGTTGCACAGCAGTTGGGTGAGATGAAGGTTGATGCATAGAGATGGGAAACCATATACAGGGCTTAGATGGGTTTCAACTTGTTTGTGCTAAGAGCGTTCATTCAATTCCCAAAAAAAAGTATAGGGTGGGAAGGAAAAGAAAAAATTCAACGAAGATGTTCTAAAATACAATACCCGGGGGTTTATTTTTCATTTCATCTCTCGCTTTTCATTTGTTGCTTTTGTCTTGGTGTGGTATAGATAGAATAGCAGTCGAATTGGAGCGAGATTGTTCTTTACTATTTATATATATACTTTTCTTGGTAAATTCGTGGGTCCATTAGTGCTTCATTTTCTTACAGTATTTTACCATGTTATCATCTAAGGTAGTAAGTAGTCTGGAGTCTAGAATTGATATACTGCACACATGTACTAGTCATATCATACACTTGAACAAATGATTGAAGTACTGCTAAAGAAAAAAAAATAATAATATACATACCCCTCCCTATACCTCATTATAAACACATAGGTTCAGATTTACGACCCCTCAGCCCCCTTCATCAACAACCCCTTAACAAACGGCACCCGATCTATCACATCCAGTCCCAGACTGCGCGCCCACGCCACAGGTCCATTACCCGGGACATTGTACAACTTATGCAGGACATCACAAGCACCGCCGATCTTCGCATTCGTGCCGTACCGATCCCATGCGTACCGCTCGAGGGTGAGTAAATCACCCACGTCCATACCATGGTGCACGGCGTACTCGATCGTCTGCGCCAGGGACGCCACGTCGCCCAGACCCAGGTTCAAGCCCTGACCGGCGAGCGGGTGGATGACGTGCGCGGCATCGCCGACGAGAGCCACGCGGGGAGAGACGTAGGTGGAGGCGTGGCGGAAGCGGAGGGGGAAGGAGGCCACGCTGCCTTCCTGGACGCCTGTGACCATGGGTGGGAGGTGGGAGGGCTGCGGGGTGTGTTGGAGGCGCCAGGTGAGTTCGTCTTCGTAGGGGTTCTCGGTTGTAGTAGAGGAGGGGCGTTCCATGCGCAGCATGTATTGGAGGTCGGTCATGGAGAGGCGGAAGGCGGCGTTGACCATGGAGATGAAGGCCTTCGGGGAGAGGGATTTGAGGTAGGCGGCGTTTTCGACGGTCGTGGACCAGACGAGCGTTGCGTTGTTGTTGGGGAGGGGGAGTAGGGCGATGGGTCCGCCTAGGGAGGGGAGGAAGCGCTGGTAGGCGGTTCTCATTCCGAGAGGGAACGGAGCCGGGTCTAGGTCGGCGAGGGAGAGGCTCGCGACGATGCCGTGTCGGTTGTAGTCCCATCCGTCTGTGGCGATGTCGGCGAAGCGGCGGACAGGACTGTTGATGCCGTCTGCGCCGACGAGGAGGCGCGCGGCAATGCGGGTGGGCGGTTGGGTGGTGGTGGTGGTATTGGTGGGTGTGATGGAGAGGACGGGCCAGGCGGAGAGATCGGGGCCGTCGGGGGTATCGGTGCCATTGGTGATGGAGGAGACGGTGCTGTTGGAGAAGAGGGAGAGGTTGTCATCCCCGGAGGCTGCGATGCGGGAGAGGAGGGCGCGAACGAGGTTGGAGTTCTCGGTCATGGTCGCGACGGTGCGGAGGTCTTCGAACGGAGAGGTCTCCATGGACCAGTCGAAGGAGATGCGCGAGCCGGTTTCGCCATCCCAAACTTGCATCTCCTGGTAGGGCTGAGCGCGGGATGTGTCAAGGTGATCCCAGGCGCCGATCTTCTTCAGGAACGAGACGGAGGAGGGAGTCAGGCTGCTGACGCGGTTGGAGTAGTTCTGCGCATCGAGGGACCACGAGCGGGCTTTGTTCAGGTCTTGAGTTTCGACCAGGGCGACTTTCAGCTTTGAGGTGGTGGGATTAGCCCCTAGAGAAGTCAGTTAGAGACACCAATTGAATGTATACAGCGCATTGGAGCAGCATACGAAGTGCAGCCAGCAGGCCTAGACCGGCAGGACCACCGCCGACGCAGACGACATCGTAGATCTCGGGTGCCGTAGCGTTAGAGGGCGAGTGGGAGGCATATCTCCTGCGGGCAGGAAGACGGCCCAATTGACAAGACGGGCAAACGTAGGGACGGAGAGCCGTCCGAGAGAGAGGACGCATGATGAGAGATGGGGCAGTGAACAGCGGGGAAGAGAGAGCGAGAAGCCGGAAGTGGAAGGGAAAGTGAAGCCATCACCAGATACTAAAGCAAACAGAGCAAACATCATTCCGCATCCATCAACTACCAAGTATCAAGTCAGTCATCATTCAACCCCCAAGCAACTACTCATTCTCCGCCCCAAATACTAACTTTTCTCCTGCATAATAATCAATCCAAGAAATACATATCTCAGCATACCATCAAATTTCCACAAAATGCAACATGCCATCTATTCCCCCCCTGACTCCAAATCTCACTCTCACTCTCACTGCCACTGCCACCATGCACTCACTCCGCCACAATGCACCCATTCCAATTCCACTACTGCAGAAAGGCAAAACACCCCCTTCAAGCAAGCTAAAAAAGAAAAAGAAAAATAGATAACTAGTAAAATCCTGAAGAACCTTAAAGTATATTAGTACCAGACACAGCCCTACAACTCAATTGAATCTTTCACTCTCCAACTTTAATATCTATCATTTCACTCACATAACAGCCCTACTACCATACTATACATACCGAGAAAGGAAAAAAGGAAAGATGTCCTCAAACAACACCACTACCACCAAAAACCCCAAATCCCAATCCCAATCCCAATCCCAATCCCAAACACAAGAAGAAAGACCCCATCTATCCGCCAACTTCGCCCACCCATCATCGCAAAGAATCGACTACGATCATGAAGTCTACCTCCATCTAATGTCCGGGGATGATGGTGATGATACCCGCAAGGACAAGAATAAAAGCAAGACGCCGAATCAGGTGTATAGGGAGGTTAGTACCATACCTGATTTCATTGCATGATTTTTTATCTACTATGTGTTTGTTGGGTTTGTGTGCTTGCGCCAGGGTGTATCTGATATTAGGGGTATCCCTGTGGTAGAATATCGTGCGAAGACATACGACTCGCGCGCTGGATCCGGCGGTGGTGGACCCTAATGCGCAGAGGGATCCGAGTCCCCTTGATTTGGAGTGGGCGGAGAGTCAGAGGGTTAGAGAGAGGTTGGTGGGGAATTGATTGGGCATTATGGTCATGGTGTCTGAGGATGATGGATGAATGGAAGGGTTCTAATGGGCGAGTAAGAGGTGGAAAGAAAGACAGAGAGAAAAGTGCAACGTCGTGATGATTATTTCATTCATGAAGCAACAGTCTCCTTCCGTAATGGTAATAGAGAATCAAAACCCTCATGAAGCGAACAAAAAGAAAACATGGCTAGTGCGATATCACAGTGTCATAATCAGTAGTACCTAAATGTAGCAATGGTGGTTGTAGTAGTAGTAAAAGTTATCACCTCTCCTCCATGCCTGGGTCATGCTCTTCTTCCAAGTCTCCCTCCATCTCAGCCACAAATCGTTCCCAGGTATTCAGTACTCCCTGGTAGAACTCGATCTGCTTCTCGGCCAACGCTCCAAGCGTATCCCGGAACTCTACGGCCTTGATGCGCTCGAAGTCTGCCACCTCGCGCACAACTTCCTCGTCGAACATCTCCGACGTTGTTTTAGCCGACTCGACCTCGCGCGTGAGCTCGTCGATGCGGAGCTCCAACTTCCGCACCCGCTCGCGTCGCGATTGCTCGTGATCAACACCCCGCATGTCCTCCATCTTGGACCGGATGAAAGAGGCCGGGGAAGAGGTCAGCGGGTTGGAGGCATAGTAGGAAGAGGGGTTAGAGGCGAGGGAGTCCCGCTCCGCCACCGCCTTGTTTCGATAGTCGACCAGCGCTTCGAAGTCGAGCTGTTTCTGCTCGCGCGTCTTGAGGAGGGCTTTAAGCGAGACAATGTACGCCTCCATATCCCGCAGCGACCCCAGATAATTCTGATCGGTGTGATCCTTGAGCGTCTTGAGCCCGCGCCCCGTCTCCTCTACCGAGGCTGCAAAGACTTGTAAGGGGACCTCCACCTCCGGTTCTAGGGGCACTAGTTTGCGGAACTGCGTAGCCAGGTCATTATAGTCTGCCTCGAGATCCGATTCTCGCCGAGCCACCCGGGCTACAATCTTCTCCACATGATTGAGGTCCTCATCCAGTTTATCCGCCTTCTCCCGCACTTCAATAAACCGCTTATCCGGCTTGTGCACCTTAGTGAAAGCGTTGACAAAGGTGTCGGTAAAGTTGTCAAAGATCCCAGGAACCCCGCTGCCGTCCGAGGTGCTGGTCGAGTTGCGCGTGGACCGCAACCGCATGTGTGCATTCCAGTCGGGAGATTCCAAGAAGATAGCCAGCAACGGCGCGCGCCGAAGCACGGGATGCAGCGTAAGCCGTTTCAAGAAGCGATGTAGAGACCATGCCCGTCGGGTGGTAAACTCGGGTCCGAACCGATCGCCGCGGACATACTCCATCTTATGCTTATCCGGCAACGGCGGGACGGCACAGGCAGGGTATTCGCGATAAAGCGTCTTGTATAGGAAATAGAAATCGGTGAATCTGCGTCGCACGGTGAATTCGGGTTTCTGGAAGGACTTGAAATCGGTCTACAGTTCTGGTCAGCGAACACTGCAACTACACACTCGTCTCCATTCCGAGACCACTGAAGGCAGACAACCCACCGTAGTAGTAACCAGATATGAAATATAAGCGTCTTTTGTCCCATCATTCTCTTTCAACGGCGAATCTACCCGGCACTCTAGCACACCGTCGCCGATACCCGCCAGGTCGACGGCATCCGCCAGTGGCCCAGCCTGGGGGCTCTCTTCAGCGTTGCTCATCCTCCGTTTGCCATTGACATCGTGAGTGTATGGTTCCTGTTCCTCTGTATCTGTCCCGGAAGTCGTAGGTCGCGAGAGATCACTGTCCGGGTCATGCCTCCACGAGACGCTGTCAAAGTCGTCGTGCTGATCCATCGAGGGGGTGGTTGGGTTGCCTGCCGCCTGGAGCCGGCAGAGAAGGCTAGATCGGTAGCGTTGGAGTGGGTGGAGATGGGGATCAGTGCGAGGTACAGTACGTGGAGCTAGGAAAAGCCGGTTTTTAGATTAATCTGAGGGTTCTAGAAGCAGGACAGCAGGATAAGGTGGGAGGAGTGAGGAGATGGAGGTTGGTTGGCGGGCGGTCAACAGCAGGAGAGACGAGAGATGCGGAGGAAGTCAAAAGCAGCGACGGGAAGCGTCATCGCCAAGACCCTTAATTTAGTGTTCCTTTGGTTCTACTCCGGAGATCACCACCACTAGATACTACGGCAGATGAAGAATAGCTAAATCAATAAATGAATGATTTAAGATGGTGCACACATACATGGTATATACACGCTTTCTCTATGCAGCATACACAGCAGGAATATAGTTCAAACGCAGGTCATCCAACGAGTTAGAAACACTGTCCGAAATAAGATCAACCCTCATCTACTTGCCCGTCATCTCCGAGAATGCTCCCCATCCCCCTCCCGTTCTTGTTCGCCGCTAATCCCCCGATCCCGATATGGTTCATCATCCTCATCACTGAACAACGGTTCCTCGTCGCTCTCGCCCGCAAAAGCATTGTACAGCTCGCCACCTCGGCGACGTGAACGGTCCGCCCGTCCGTTCATCGCCTGCAGCTCATCCTCGTCTTCGATCATCTCGAAGTCATAGTCATCCCGACTGTCGTTGCGAAGGCGTTTACGGCGTTGCACATGGAAGTAGACGCCCAGACCAATGCAGAAGACAATGATGGAGCCGATCGCGGCGTAAATCCAGGCTTGCGTTCGCTTGGAGGCACCGAACGTGGGAAAGAAGGAAGGCAGGAAACTATCTGACGCAGAGGTCGGAGAAGGGCTTGCTGTTGAGCTTGCCTCAGCCGTAGGGGTCTTCTCGAGTTCTTCATCATCGATGGGATCCGTCAGACTACCTGTCGGCATCGCGGATGTTGTTGGCTTAACGTTCACCGGGCGATCAACGCCACCAGTGGGCTTGTCAGACAGCTCGGTTTTCGTGGGGACGGCGCTAATGCTCGTGGTAGCCACGTTTCCTTCTTCGTAGCTGTGGTCGTCATCATGTTCAGTAGGCATGGGGTGAAGAGGCTGCTCGGCTGCGTCAATCGCCTCGCCCCACAAGTTGAGTCGCCAGTCAATGAACTGTCCAGTATGCTCGTTGACATTGGTGTCCTTGACAATCACAGTCCATTTGCCAATTCCGGACTCGCCCCTAGATGAATATTAGCATGAAGACCGACAACCGAGTGGAAAAAATACTTACCAATGAGCAACGCTCATAAAAGTCCAGTCAACATAGCCCACCTCTTGATTATCCGGCCGCCGGGGCGTACTGAGGTGACTGACCCTGCCGTCAGGGCTCCGCAACTCCACGCTGAGATCGCCTCGGCGGGTGTGGTTAACATTCATGGTGACCGTGACATGCTCCAGCCGTTCCAGATTGGCACCCTTCAACATATCCTCCGTCACCTCATACGAACTGGCCAGGCCCTGCTCGCCCTGTGGAATCTCATGCTCAACCCGCTGCCAGGGGGAATGGAGCCAAGCTTGGGGCTTCACCAGATCCCAGGTCTTTGCCTGTTGCACAAGCGTCCAGGTATCTACCTTGCCGTATCCCCAGTCATGGCTGAACTTCTTTCCGTTCTTAGTGTCTTGCCAGCTTCCATCGTCTTCATGAACCGGCACTGCCGCCTCAATCATCAAATATTGGACATCACGCCAGGTGAGTTCCGGCCGAACACTGAGGGCCAGCGCCACAGTCCCCGCAGCGAGCGGGCCGGCCGCCGAAGTTCCACCATGAGTACTCGAGCACTTGTCTGTGCCGACGTCCGTGGTATGAATTGCATCACTCGCGCCACTGCTGTAGGCAACCACCAGTTGTGCTGAGCAGGATTCTGAGTACGGAGGATGGTTACCCTCCCGATCAATGGCACCCACCGTGATGCTGTAGATACTGTTGGTGTAACCGTCAAAGTTACAGTTGTCATCATGAATGGCACCGTTACCAGCCGCAAACACAAAAACCGAGCCTTTTCCACCCCGACCATTTTGAATACCATTGACCATGGCCCGCTTGATCAGGGTTCCCGGAGCCTCCATTGTAGCTCCATCATCGTAAGGACCCCAGGAACACGAGTAAATATCGTTCTCCTGGTAAGCGTAGTTGATAGCCGCAGCCTCATCCGTATCGTCAATGGGTGCAGAAAGAATCCGAATACCAGCAATGCGACTATCATACGCAACACCAACCCCGCACACGTCGTTCTTCGCCGCACCGATTTCACCCGCACATCTAGTACCGTGGCGGTCGTCGCTCAAGCGCGGCCTCGGCTCCGGTACTTTGTCGTTATAGTCGTAAGACCCCGCCGCAAAATAGTTCGGCCTAAGATCGTTGCTGTACATGTCCAAACCATCATCGACAATAGCCGTCGTGACACCCTGCCCCGTAATACCCTCCAGCCAGATTCCCGTCACGTTAAGATCATGACCCAGCTGAACGGTATTGAACAAATGCCATTGTTCGCCGAAAATAGGGTCCGCTAGGCCCAATTCCGAGGCAATGCGTTTTTGCGCCGCAAGCGCTTGAGGATCACTCTGAGTGTTCACAGGCGATCTGGCAGTATATCCCGTCGGCGCCACTCGCTTATGAAGTTTCCTCTGGGGGGCCAGCTTCTCAGACCAAAGAATACCACTTAGACCTTCGTCTCGCCCGAACAAGGAGGGAAGGACAGCGGCGTCGTCTCCGGAGCGACGGCGTAACCTCCGACGATCGCGCAATTGATCCAGCAGCGCATGGACATCGTCACTGTTCTCACGGGGTATCGAAAAGGTATGATGTGAAGGTAATTCTCCGACGGGGCCTTCGTGGCGAGCACCTAAACGTTGAGCGACGTCGGCCGGCGAGGCGGATTCGTCAAGGTGTAGAGCGAAGTAATCATGTGTCTCGTAGGAACGATGAGGATGGAGAGAAGCGGAGGCAGCAGCGCAAAGGCCCAGAGCCGCAGCGACACCACCTGTAAGACGCATCGTTTGGGGGGGAGAGGTTGGGTGAACTCTCACTCTCAGGACGATGTGATCAGGCCAAGTAGGAGGCTTGCCATGGACCAACACGTACTGGGTATGAGGCGGGACCCGGGGTACAGGCAGACGCAAGGAAAGTCGGCCAGGTATGTGTCGGTCTGTAGGAGCGCCACCCAGATGGAAAAACGATACCGAGGATCAAAAGCAATAATAGAGACCGAAAGTGGCAAGAATGGCAAGATGATACGAGAAATAATGGAATTTTGAATGAAAGCGAGGGAGAGAGTTGACGAGTTGGCCCGAATGAATAGAGAGAGCAGCTAGACTAATACGCGGCCCTGGGGCGGCAGACCAAACTCCCGACTCCAACTTGCCTTTCGCCGATCCACTTTTTTGCCCTTTCCTCTCCCAAAAGGGATCACCGCCTCAGATGGTCTGCCACTAACTCTATTGAGTCTAGCAGATCTTGGCTGCCCCTTTTGGCCCCGTTAGATCGGAGATCATGTTATTCCAGTCCCGGTCACATTGCATAGTTACTGTATGTAGTATGTATGGACTATGGAGATGCAGGTGGTGGGACGCCTATTAATGCATGAGGACAATCATTTATCTCAAGATTATTGCATCGTGGTGGTACTAGTGCTTTATATAGGTATAATTGATAGACCTTATGAGGTCAACCCCCGCATTAGTGGTTAGTCGGTCTTGAATGAAAACCGTCCCAAACTTAAGTTTCGATTATATACTTTAAACTGAACCTAAAGTTGAACCATGTCTGATTCCCAGCGAGAATCTACACAACATCGCCCTCAATAGTGATAGTATACTCAATATTCCAACCAAAGTAACATATAATTGGGGTATGAAAAGCTTTTCCTGAGAATGCTAAACATTTCATGTTCAGGAACAGCAGAAGTGACATTAGGGTTCGTATCGCTTTAGTGTGTAAACTTCAATCAAACAATAATCAATAACTGACACTTAATTACACTATGTCCAAGCTTTTACCCACTTATACCACAGACTATATGCACAAACCAAATTCATTACCAATACTTCGCTTCTTACAGGTGAAGCGAAAAAAGACACAAAAGGAGAAAGAGCACCAGGCAGCTCCACGCCACAGCACTCAAGATCATTCCCTGTCTTCGGACCTGTCGCAAAACATCGGTATATCGCATCGTTTCAAACGCCACCAGCCGGTACTGCGTCGCCCACCCAAGCTGCGGGGCATGAAGACTCAGAAACTCTTCAATATGCTTACGGATATGGTAAGACATCTTGAACACGCCTTGTCGTAGTTCCTTGTAGTTTTGCAACGCCAATTCATTTATGATGTGGACATCCGGCTGGCGATACTTGGTGTACTGCTCAAGGTAGTCTTCCACAATCGCTTGCGGGGTGTCGGGTAGCTCTTTTTGTTGCATCGCATAACTCAAGGAGAGGTTGTCCTTCCAGGAAGGGAAATTCCTTCGTTGGTCGAGGAAGTCCTCGAACAGGATTCGGACATCCTCGAAGCCGGTGTTCATGCCTTGACCGTAGAAGGGGACCATAGCATGCGCAGCATCACCAATAAGGACACATGAGTCCTGGTAGTGATACGGTGAGCATCGGATGTCGATCATGGGGTGATGAAGGTTGGACTTGAATTGTTTCTGGAGATTGTCGGTGGGGATGAGGTCTGGTGTGATACCAGGAAAGTTCTTCTCGAAGAACTCTGCAATCCTCCCAGAGGACTTCAGTTCCAGAAACACTTTCTCCGGAGCGAACAGATTGCAAGTCAATGTTCCTTCCTAGGGAGGGTCAGTATAACATAACATTGCTTGATGATAGAACTTGTGGAGCATGCATACCTTATCCGGACAGGCAAACAGCATAAAGTCACGCTGGGGCCACATGTGCAGACAGTCCATTGGA